TTAGCGGCGAGCGAAGGAAAAAGATGGAAAGGTAGCGCAGTTTGGCTTAGGGGAGGGGTGGCATTTTGTACTTCCGGCTACTTCTCACTTGCCTTGGTCATTGCATTACAATAGTTGGCAGGCATTCTTCACAAGAGTTGACGGATGTCTACTGCAGACTTTGACTGGTATCATCTTATGACTTCACAAGATTTCGCAGAGCTCTACTTGATGGACCGACTTGCCGATGGGGAGTATCAGAAGTGCAAGATGCCCTTTCCCAACACCACAAAGCCGAACTGCGCTGAATAGGCCTTCGATCATTTGTAAGGAATGGTAAAATTGCCGCATCGTTGATTTTAGAGAATATGTAGTGCGCCTGCGCGCCTGGAGCCTGAGAAATCACCGTGAAGAGGTTGTTTTATATAATAACTCGCCCGGAAAGCGTGAGGTGCGGGTTCGACTCCCGCCTGGGGCACGACTTTTGCCCACAACTCAGCATTCTTGTGATAACCGTGAAGAGGAATTTTGGAGGGACAAAGACGGTGGCTTCCTCTCTCCGGGCCCTACTACCTCTTTTCCATCGAAGATCCCTGGTATGTCCTGCGCTCCAGTATGCATCCAGAGCAGTGGTCAAAAAAAGTGTGGTGAGGATAGCTCACCTTAGGGTTTTCTGCACTCAGAGCCTTGATAGCATCCTTGATTTCATTTGCGGTCTGATCTTCGTTCTCCACTATGGCTGAGAGTTTTTCCAGTGCAGCTGGCAGAGCAGTGATAAGTTCAGTAACATTCTTCTTGATCTCTTTATTGAGATTAGTCCAGTTGGTGTTGAACTCCTGGACCTGAGCCTGAAAAAAATGATCAGTTGCCTTGAGTGAAGTTGTTCAGTAGCAGCTCAAATACAGCCTCATCAGCGTCAACAATTTCACGTACTTCAACTCCGTATTTCTGTGCCCAGGTCAGAATTTCTCCCTTCTGTTCGGCAATGGTCTCTTCTTTGTTCGTCAGAATAGCGAAGAACTCCTTTCTGGCTTCTTCGGTGACATTCTTGAGGAAAGGTGGTAGTGGTGGTCCACGTCCACCTGGGCCACCTTTGCCTCCTTTACCACCAGGGCCACCTTTGCCGCCTGGGTGACACAATGCCACGCCAACAATTGCAAGAACGAAGACGATCGTATTCATTCTAAATGAGGCTGACAAAATGAAAGAAATTTGGCACTTG